CCCTAGACCTTTCTTCTAAAAATAGTGTTATGTCTTTTCTCTAGGCAAAACATACCAAGGGTCTTCCACTGGTTTTGACAGAATCAATTATAGACCATGAACATGGATATCCCACGCTGAGTCACCTACATTTTATACTGTTTATCTTAAAATATTGTTTATAGAACTCAATATACTCCATTTGGCCAAGGTACAGAGTATACTGCCTTTCTTATGAATCATGTACTTCTGGGTTTTTTTTAATAATTTACTTTTTAATGAAACCAGACTGCACAATCTTTCTCTTTTGTCATCTGTCTGAAATGTCAAATCCTGCTATAAATTTAGATTTAGCAGCTATTTAATGACTATCTCTGTCCACGCTAGATGTGCTCACACAAGTTTAATATTACATAATGTAAATGACAGAGCTATGAAATAGGCATAAATTTGTCCCATATTACAGAAGAAGAACCAGAAGTCTATGTACTGAAGTAACTTATCCAGAGAAGAGATTCCTAAGGGACAGAGCAAGATTCATCTTAGGTCGTTTGGTCTCAGTTTACCTGTTCTGTGTTACTGATGCTTATTAGATTGATAATAAACTAGAAATTCAGAAATTCACCAGTAATTCTGATGCAGTCAGGATGGTTTTATAAGTTAGGCAACATGCCTTAGAGTTTCTAAATGTTTTTGTTAAATACGGTAATGTCTTACATAAACTAAATGAACTGATATCAGAGAACTTATAAAATAAAAAGTAAATATGCCTAAACAAAAAATGTTAGAAGAAACAAAATTAAGAGTTTTAAACCATTTACAAAGGAGAATCATGTGTATTTTATGTTTTACCTTTTTTTTAAAATTTTAGTTTTTTTCAGTTGTAGAAAGAAAGTCAAGGTATTTAAAGACTGCCATCTATTCAAATTTGTATTCAAGTTTACTTCTTAAGACATTTAATTTACTTTTTTTGGTCTTTTCTTCAAAGACTCTTTTTTCTTGGGAGAGCATAAGAATGAAAAAGCCAGTAGACATACTTAAGAACCCATCGTCTAGAATATAAACCACCAAATTTGAAGCTATGACTATTATATGAAGATAAAAGGGCAAGAAATAAGATGGTTTTGTTTTCTGATTTTGTTTCTTTAGTAGCTCCTGCTTTTTACTCTACATCAGTCTTTAGGATTCTTTCTGTATTTTTTTTTTCCCAGCAATCAAACTTGAAAACAGATTTTTAAAGGGTAGGGTACTATGGTATTTCCATTGAACCAGGATACAAGAATGAAGAAATGGCATGAGATAGTTCAGGAAAATATTACCATGTAGTTAGAACATTTTGAATGAAAAGATAGGTATGAAAGTGAAATCAGTTATTTACTCAGCATCGTACTTGGTACTAAGAACATTTGTCTATATTCATAAGTTTGTAGGAAGTGGAAATCAAGCATTAACTAGAAAGTTTGAAATGAAAATGTACCTGAAATGATAGATTTAAATTGTCCTTAAAAGTAAGAATATATACAAAGGGAATTAGTAAATATTTTAACCTCCAGAGGTAGCATTAGTGAAGTATCAAAGATTGGGTATGCATATATACAGATTAGGGGAGAAAAGAATTGGAAAATAATTTGTTATAAGCATCTCTATTCTTTAGGCTGCCTTGAAGAAGCATGCACTAGGAAAAACTAATTGGTGCACTCAAAAGAGATTTGTTTTACTTCCCACTTTACCTGGTAACTAGAGGAGTGTCATGCTTGGTCAGTCTTGCTATCCATTTACTACTATTTCATTATGCTTCTCTAATGTAAATACTCTTAATATATAACCACCATATTTACAACACATTCACATAATAATCTCTTAGTGTAGTAACACCCAGTACCTGTTGAATTTTAGATTATTTTAGAGAAGTGCATATTGCATTTGGATTTATTTCTCTTTCCTAGACAGTCTCACATAAGTTTCCCAGCCTGGTCTCAAATTTGTATTCCTCCTGAGTAACTAGAATTACAGACATGTGCCATATATGTTGCATTTGGTTTTCATGATTCTTTAAAAGAGAACTTTTAAATGGAATGATAGTGTTTCCATTGGAGAGAGATAATATTAGTATAGATTCTGATTATATAGTCCTTGATACTATGGCAAAAAGTATAGGCTCTGATTAGAAAATCAGATATATAAGGTGAATATGTGAATTTTAGGAAGTTTGTATGACTAAGCATAGAAAGTCCACCTGAAAACCCAATGTAATTAGAAGTATAAAATGCAGAGTGGCAAAGAAATAGTTAAATTGAAATCTCAAAAACGAATCAGTTCTTTTGGTAGCTAATTTTATACAAGAAATGATTAGCATACAACAAAAGTTGAATGTGAAGAGAGAATGACAATGGGTACTTTTTATAGTTAGGACACAAAAGGGAATAAAAGAAAATAGCTATGATAAAAATGTGATGGTAAATAATATGTTCTTATCAAATGACACTTCTTGACTAACTTGTATATTCATAATTTAGTCATGCCTGGAAAGTAAAAAGTCATCAAATAAAATACATAAATGTTTGTCTTCTGCATAGTTTAATGTTGTATATAAGGGAACTTAACAAAATAATAACATTTGGAGTTTATATGTATGAACTTTCTAAAATAAATTGTCTTGATTAAATTCTGATGATAGACTTAAATTTTCCTTAAAGATAGGGATAAAAACAAAGGGAATTCTGTGTATTTTAACTTCCAAAAGTAGCTTTAGTAAAGAATTAAAGATTGCGTAGATGTATATACAGATTAGGGGAGAAAAGAACTAGAAAACTTTGCATTCAGTTAAACTCCAAATGTACATTTTTTTAAATTACAAAAGTTTTCAGATTGTGTCTGAACATTATTTTATTGCATGCTTATTCACACACAACACTGAATTAAAAGAATCTTCTCTAGTTAATGTAGGCTCTTTTTATTTTGTTTCAGTTTTTTATTTGAATGGTTATCTTTTTTTTAATCATTTTTTATTTTGAGACAGGGTCTCACTAAATTGCCTAGGTGAGGCTAGAACTTGAAATGTTCCTGCCTGAGCCACCCCCAGTGCTAGAGTTACAGGTATGCACACTGTGCCCAGCATGTAGCCTTTTCATTTGTAACCATTTATATCCAAGAAGCAAGAGCAAATTTTAATATGATCCTGTAAAGTTTATCTGTACATTTACTAAAACTTGGGACTTTGTAATAGGATAATGAAAAAATTACCATATCAGTGAAATTGTTTTAGTTATACCTCTTAGCTTAGACCTTTCCCTAAAGATATAAATGAAATACATTACTTAAAATTTTCTTTCAGATATATTACATCACTTGTGCATTATTCCATCCCCCACCTCCCCTCCTTTTTTCTTTTTTTTTTTTTTTTTTGTTTTGCAATACTGGGTAATTCAACTCATGGGCATTCTACCCAAAGATACATCCCCAGCCCTTTTTATTTTGACACAGGTCTTGCTAAATTCCATGCTAGCCTCAAAGCTTGGGGGAATCTTCTCCCAATTAGATGGAATTGCAAGCATGCACCACTGTGCTTGTCATTCCACTTTTAAGCAAAGATAATCATTCTCTGTCTTAGTGGTTATACATATCTAGTTTCTTAGAAATTCATGGGAAAATTTTGAAGCATATAAGAAGAAAGTAATCAGTGTTTGTAATTGTGTTGATGCTAGATTTAGTAAGATTAAGTATTCAAAATGATATGTCAAACAAACTAGCTGGAAAAATCTTCACATCATGTATTAGCATCTAAATATCCTTTGTGACAGAGGAGACAGTTTAAACTTGTAGTCTCAAGAGAAAGTCAGTAAAATAACCCCTTGTTGAGGCATAGAATGTAACCACTTTTGATGACTGTAATGCCTAGAAGGTAAATGGAAGGGTAAAAAAATCAGATCTTATCATACTGGGAAGAGATTACTACTGCTGTTGAATACAAGAAAGATGTACCTTCTTGTTTGACTGAACCTTTTGCTTTGTTAATACATTTAAATCAAGAACTTCTGTATTTTTGTGGAGTAGGAATGCATTGTTTCTAATAGTTTATGGTTTTCAGGTTTTCAAAAAGTTATTTTAACTATCTTAGTCGAAATTGAAGTAAAATTTAAATAGGGAGAAATCTCTGAAGTTACCAAAACATTCTACTATTAAAACATTTTTTTTGAGAAACCTTAAAATTGTTGAATGTAATTGAAAAACACAAATATGTATTACATTGCAATAGATTTATCTAGGTTACATATTAAAAAGTGCTGGCTGGAGATAGAAGCACATGTTAATAATCTCAGATACTTGGGAAGCTGAGGCAGGAAGATCCCTAACCTTTGTTCCATAAGTACATACAGAAACTTGACAATAATAGAGTAGTATATGAATCACTGATTGCTCAAATGCAAGGATAGCTATATGTACTTTTTAATAATGAGGAAAGTACAACATATTAATGTGGAATTTATGTCACTGCTTTGGTTATGAATGTCACTTTTTTATACTGTAATAGAAATAATGTGGATTTTGAAAAGCCATCTTAATAAGAAAGTTGAGGCAAAAAGGTTCTTGAGCCTTGAGTAGAGTTGTGATGGTTTTCTGATATCTTTTGGAGAGAGGAACACTGTAGGAACACATTCCTACACTGAAGAGGAAACTAGGAGTGTACTCTCTTTCTTACTGAATAGAGTGAGGTGGACAGGCATGACAGTGAGAGAATGTCATTCCAAGGCTTCGTAATCTGGATGTGTAACTACTCACCAAGTAATGCACAACTCAGAGTAACCATTCTAATGGGGATAAATGCTCAGTGCTAATATATAGATTTTTATAAAATTTCGGGGGAATGGGTTTGGAGCTTTGTATACTTTTATTATATTTTGTATTAAAATATTTCACGTGGCTTCTAGTCTTTATTTAAAAGTATGTTTTTATTTTGCCAGCCTACATTTATTGAAACTGTACTCTTGTATGTCATTTCATGTTTTTCCCTTGATATGAAGTCTTTACCTGTCCTGATGAAGATGTCTTTTAAAAGATATACAACAAGGAACAAAATGCAGTTTGTTAATAGCAAAATTCTGCTCTTAATAAGGTAAAAATAATTTTTATGAATCAATTTTTACTTATAAAAGGAAAACATACCTTCAAAAAATTTAAAGATTTACTTGTATTGCCTTATTAAGTTGGCACAAGAAAAATGTGCTTTCCTTTTCCTATTAATTCGTATTTCCTAACTTAGAGCACTATGTTGAACAGATGGTAGGCATTCTTTAGGTTTTGATGCAGAAATAAATTCTATTTAAAAGCTTCTACAGATAGTAATGGGCATATATCACTGTAAAATCTTTTAAACATGGATTTTTAAAATGTACTTTTTTCCTAATTTTTTTTTTATTCTTCAGGTACTAATGTGTGTTTAAAAAAAAAAACAACAAAAAACCTTGGAGTAAAGTAGCAGCACATAATGGTTTGTGGATTTTGAAAAGGTGCAGGCCATATTGTGCTGCCTCAAAAATACAAGGATCTGATCTTCTGAAGAAAATATATTTCTTTTACTTATAGCTCATATGATAGCAATGTCAGCAGTGCCTTAGCAGCACGTAAATATTGGTGTTAAGATTCTAAAATTATCTCCAGTATTAACTGTGCTGCTGAAGTAAGGTTGGCAATAATCTACAACTGTATCTTAAAGCATATTAATGTTAGTAATTTTTTTGAATTTAAGTGATATATTTTCAGTATCATTGATAATATAATATCCATTATTTTAAAATGTTAGTTATAACTTTCTATATTTATTATGTCTATTTAAATAGTAGACAGTTATTTCTTGGTATCCATGAAGGATGGTTCCAAGTATCCCATAGATACCAAAATCTGCCAATGCTAGAGTCTCTTACATAAAATGCTGTGATATTTGCTTTTAACCTGTGAACATCCTCCTGTTAATTCTAAATCATCTCTAGATTACTTATATAACTAATGCAAATGTTATACAAATGTGTATTATCAGTACTTAATTAGGTTTTTCCTTAAATATATTGATCCATAGTTGAGTTCATAGACACAGAATCCACAAATACAGAGTCCACTGTAACTGCAATTTAATAATTGTGTGGTGTGCCATTAGGAGTTTGTAAAGGACTAAGAGTGTTCCTGGTTTGTAGACCTAGCTTGTGCAAGGCCCTAGATTCAATCCCCAGAACCTTTATGTGGAATTACAAAAGGTTTCTTAAAAGAGCTTAGAAAGTATGAGAAGAATTTATTTTGGGCATTCAAAGCAAATACTTAGAATTTTAAAATGGAACAAATAATTTTCTCTGGTAATTACTTTAGGTATTTGCTTGTTTATAGATAAAGTATAAAACGTATTATGCATTTTTGAACAGAATTTAAAAGGTAATTTTTAGTAATATTTCTAAATATTTCATTATAACTGATGAAAGGGAAATCTAAATCTTGGGAGTTAAATTCCTAATCTTCATCTCAAAATGCACTTAATGATAAAAAAAATTTCAGTGCACTTAATCATAACCTTAAAAGTAGGAAAAGCCATACAGATAGATGATTGACCTGTTGATTGGGTAACAGAGGAAGCACAGTCAAATTATTTTGCACGGTTCACAGAACAGGGTCTTAATTCTTCTAACATCATAGTAGTCTATTATTGTCACTTGTTTTAAATTGTTTTAATTGTTTAATAGTCTATTATTGTCACTTGTTTCAATCCTTAGCTGAAGGTTTTTGTTTTACAAGTCAAAAAGTTTTGCTTTATTTTTTTTTAATGATACTTTAGGGTAATACCAATTTGTGATTTAATGTTAATTTTATAGATGTAAGTAATAATAAGATATTTTTAGTTTAAATTCAAAAAAATACTCTACTTTCTCTTTCTTATTTGTAGTTTTTTAAGTTATTAAGATGATACGATAAATCTAACAATTGTGTGTAACATGCCATAGATCTGGTGTTATTTTTTTCTACAAGCAGCATCTTACCCTTTTCAACTGTAACTGAAGAGAAAATGAACAAAATAAAAACAGTCCTTAATGAATTATTTCCAATAATTGTATTTTTGAAATCTTAAACTATTTTAGTTTTTATTGAAGGTATAAGACAAAACTTTCGTTTAAGAACAATATATGGCTTTTCTTGCAGGAAAAAAAACTTTTTTTTCTCCCCAAATAAGGAAGAATATATTTTACGTATGGTATCTGGGATTAAATGCCATCATTTAAATGGAGATAATACTGCCTTAGTGCTTTTAGCAGTCAGTCATTAAACTCTTAACCTATTTATTTCATAACCATTATAGGACTAACAAAATACTATAATTTTTGATTCTACTAAAATTATTCCAAGCCCTAAAATAGAAACTTAGAAATATTTATTGAATGAATTGCAGTTTGTCCAATATACTGTCCAGTATTTTCCAAAATAATCCAGAAGTTACTTTTCTCTGTGTGTTCTAAATGTATCTAAAGTCAGATTGTAGAAAATGGTGTTTAATGTCCTTTCAAAAGAAAAAAATCCTGCATTTTACATTTAGCAAGAGAATCTGTATCAACATATCCCACATTTGAGGGACTATGTGGTGTTATACTACATGAAAACTTCCACCTTCTTACTCCTGACAGTGAATTGAAGAAAAATCAAAATATTGGAAGAGCAAGCAAGAACTGGACTTGTAGCTCAGTGGTAGAGCATGTATTTAGCATGCAAAAGACCCTGTGTTCAATCTCCAGTCCAAAAGAAAAAACTATTCTAATAGTATGCAGGTTTTTAAAATGTTAATCTTAATTGAGCTATTTGCAAAGAAGAAATATAAGTGAGTATATGTTAAGTCTTCATTTTTCCGGTCTTCTTAGGTGAAAAAATCCTAATCCTTTACATTCAGGTTTCTTTTTAAATTGATGCCAGATTTTTCTAATATTTTTTAGCCTGTTACTTGAGTTTGGAGCTAAGGGGACTGCAGGCGAGTATCCAAGAGATAGAAGAATGTTCTAATAGTTTACCAATTCAACTTGCATCCTTATGTACAACTACAAATTTGTCAAGACCATAAAGATTTCAAAACTTACAAGACTCAATTCTATATTTAACATTAAAAATTTTCTCCAGTTATATATTCTTTATTGTAGTTATAAGTGTTTTTTAAGCCTAAGTATTATTATTGATAGTTTAGCCATAATCAAGTTTATACTCTTATAAAATATAAGCTCTTAAATTAATATTATTGTTTATTTAGAAATTGACATTGTAAATCAAATTGTATTTTTTTTTTTCCTTTTGCAGGTGGATATTACTTTCCCTTCATGGAAAAAGTTTTAAGTGTTCTCATTAAATAATATTAAAAAGGAGAAAAATTAATGTTCTAAAATTTTTAGATAGACTTGGCTGTAATAAGCATTTAGGTATATCATTTACATATTTGGGGAAAGAAGAGTCCATCATCCAGTACAGTCCCATCTACTAAAAAGTTTTATTTTCTCTATTAGTGGATTTCTTGTGGCTCGTGTTTTATTACTAATAGCACGAACTCCTTCAATGCAGAATTGACTTGCACCAAAAACTTAAGAGCGTACATCTTTATCGTGTCTCTGAAATAAAGTTCAGCAATTTCTAATTTTTTTCTTTCCTTTTTTGCAAGGCTAACCCTGTTTGAAAATTTAAAAAGAAGGCTGGGGATGTAGCTAAATTCTCCTTGGTCAAACCTTCAGTAGTGGGTGTGTATGGGGGCCTTATAATGCTTACCAAGCATTCTCCCACCACGCTTCTCCCTCAGCCCTGTTTCTTTTTTTTAAAGGCTATATGCAGTGAAAAACAGTTTGGCAAAATGTTTAGGCTTTTTTTTTTAAATATCAGTGCAAAATGATGTTACTTGCTGATTTTGTGTGTGTGGTATGGGTGTGGTGGTGTGAAGCAAGATACTGGCTGAGGATTAAATCCAGGGCCTTTGTAATGAACTGCATCCACAGGCAACCCCACCTGCTTTCTGAGACAGTATAAATTGGTAAGTTGCCTAGATTAGATTGGAACTTGTGATCCTCCTGCCTTACCCTCCCTCAGTGGTGGGATTGCAGGTATGCATCACCATGCCCCAACTCTTTGTACTTCTTAGGAATAACATTAACAGTTGTATATGCCTCAGTCTATTTAATCTTCACAAATAAGATAGTGTTTTTATGAATATGGTTCAAAATTAGAACCTCCATCTGAGACCATTTAGAGTCCAAAGGAAATATCTGAATAGGTGGTTAATAGTATGTAATGGTCAGGCTTTTATGAATTTACTCTGGTGATCTGAAATTGTTTTCCACTTGATCAACATAGCTGGAGTCAGAGTTAACAGTTCCAAGAGACACCCTGTAATTTGTTTATCTCTCATCTGCCATAATCTTCTGTTCTGTTATGTTGTTTTGAGACAGGATCTCACAAAATGTTTAAGGCTGACTTTGAACTTACTATATAGCCCAAGCTGGCCTCAAATTCTGTAGTCCTACTGCTTCAGCCTCCCAAGTGCTGGGATTGCAGCAGGCGCCAACAATCCTAGTTTACCACAGTCATTTTTCCTTTTTGCTATAACTAAGTACTTCCTCATTTCTTCTTTTTAGAGCATGTTGACCGAGGAGTTGTCTCTGTTTCAGTCTTAATTTCATCTCCTATATATACCACTAATTTAATCTTTTAAGACAGTTTTTTTCCTACATGGTGAAACTCGCTTCTTAGCTGGATTATTTGTGGTTTTGCTTTAGCCTTTTCTGAGTTGTTCAGTTTTCTTCAGATGGACTAGATTTAATCTTTTCATTTTCCTTCCTATATTTCTTTATCGTGTATCACCACTTTAGTTCTCCCTTAACTAGTTTCAATACCCTTTTAAAAATGAAGCAAAATCTCTCATGTGGCAAGTGTTTCTGTCCCTCATACACACCCACTACTGAAGATTGACCAAGGAGAATTTAGCTACATCCCCAGCCTTCTTTTTTAATTTTTAAACAGGATCTCACCAAGGTGCTCAGGCTGGCCTCAGGCTTCCAGTTCTGCTTCAGCTTCCTGAATAGCTGGAATTAGAGCAATCTTTTGCCATACCTGGCATATCTTGTTCTTAATGTTTTTCTCTCTCAACTCACTTGAGGCGTATACACTGGTCCATTAATTGAGCCTCTTTTATTTATATATATTAACCTTTCTGGTTATTAGCAATATGGATAAAAATTTAAAAACAAAAGACGTAATGAAATAAGCAAGTGGACTAAGACATCCAGAACTTCAGAATGTCACTCAAAAAAACTAAATGTCAAATTCCAAAGATCAAATATTAATATAGTCTGACAAGTGATCTAGTTGTGTTTTTTATATAGTTACACGCGAACCAGCTATAGTATGTTTTATGATTTCATTTTAACAAATACCTTCCTAAACAAGCAGTAATCCATGAATTTATTATAAAGTTTATAATAAGAAATTGGAAGCATTTTAAGCCTCTAGTAATAAAAGGTTGATAACTCAGTAGAATGTTGTACTACTGACTAAAATATATAAGTGAATATTTAATGAACTAAACTTTGCCTGTGATTGGACTGAAGATGTAGCTCCATGGTAGAGTACCTCAGCATCACCAAAAAATTGAAGTGACTAAAGGTTATCAAGTGTTAAGAATATTCACTATAAAAACTTTACTTGAATAAGAGATAAACCTTACTGGGATGAAAGGGATCTTAATTACTTGGGTACTTGGTTGAGAGAGATTTCACTGTTTCCATACTCATCCACCTCCTAAAACCTCAGAAGGTAAGTATTTTAGTTTGGAAACTGTACTAATAGTCTCAGTAAAGAAATAGAAGTATTTGATATTCAATGAAACTTTCAGGCCTAATTAACAGTATTAAAATTCTCAATGTTTCCTTAGCATAAAAATTAATATACATACAAACCTTGTAAAAGTAAAAAATCAGTTTAAAAAATAATAATTGTGACCAAAGACAACTATGATTCTTAGCCTTATATTCATATCTAATTGCATGTTTAGTGGGGTTTTTTGTTTTGTTTTGTTTTTTCAGTGCTAGGGGTTGAACCCTGGCCTCAAAAGTATTAGGCAAGTTTTCTACATCCTCAGCCTTTTTTCTTAATTTATTGTTCTAGTGATAAGAAAGAGCATCTATCAGAAAGGAAACATAAAGTGCTTCTGGCTCAGAATTTTTTAAGTTTTATTTAAGAAACCTTGTTATATCTAATGTGTAAAAATAAAGTTTAATTTTTCTCATACTTTAAAAATGTTGAAACATTGTTTATCCTTTTTCCTTTGTCATACCCATGTATCACCCCCAAAAGTGCCTTTCCAGCATCTTGAAGGAAGTGATCAGGAAAATATAATCAGTAACTCATGAAATAGTAAACTCATAACTTGTTCAAATCTGAGAAACAGTTCATTAAATTACGAGTTTGTTTCTTCTTTTGTACTTCAATAATCAAATTTATCAATGAAATTTCTGAAATTGTGGAATTCATGTTTGGTATTCAAAACATTTCTCACTGTTAATGACAACAGATACTTCATCCTAAACACATAGTCTTAAAATGTAAGGATGACAGTGGTAGACTAAATTTTTGACCTAGTACAGTGAATACTTTTTGTCAGACTACCAACATTGATTGTAAGCAAATTTTGTGTTTTAACCTATTTTTCTCACACCCCAACAGTTTATAGTTTAACAAAAACTTGAGAACTTGAAGAACAGCTGGATTAACAAAACTTACTCAACTGGCAAGCAAGCATAATGTGAGTTCGATCCCAGGACCAAAAAAAACCTTAAAAGTCTAAAATTTGACTATTTGAAAGGGAGGAATGTTTGTCACCACAAATCTATGATGCAGGTTTCAAATAGATTATGCTTTTACCCGTGTATTTTAGTGAATATTGCATTCTTTAGGAAAAAGACCCAAAAGTAAACTTAAAAGTTTCATTATAGTCACACTGTCATACAATTTTAAAATTAGTGATTCTAACGTTAGGTGCATTCAGAATTTGAAGGAACCTTACTAGGGTGGCAGTGCACACCTCTAGTCCCAGCACTCCGGAGGCTGAAGTGAGAGATTCAACTAGGACTTCAAAGTCAGCCTGAACTACATCCCAAGATCCTGTCTAAATTTTAAAAAAAAAAAGCCTGGAGCTTTAAAAATCGATAACTTTTAAAAAATAAAAATTGATAACTTGTTTTTTTTCTGGAAAATTGTATATTAATATTCTCAGGAAGAAAATGTTTCCTGTATTAAATTTCCTCAGAGTACTATTCCTTATTTTCAGCAATGCCAGGTTGTCTTGATTTCTATATAGATGTATTATAATTTGGGTTCTATAGGTCAGGATTCAATAAATTTCAAAACTAGCATGTAAATTTTCATGCATTCCAGTTAAACTGTCAATATTTGTTAATAAACATTTTCCCAAACCATTGTTAACTGTAAGTCTTGGTGTGTGGCACTTTGCCAGGCCACACATATAGTACAGATCTGAACCAACACATTACTGAAAGAATGGGAAAATGAATTTAGATGTCATTAAAATACTTACACTGAAGTACTAAGAAGCTTACTTGAAAATAAATGTGAGATTCAATTATTGCACTGCAGAGCAAAACTGGGGGATTAAGTTTCAGTGAGACAAAAACTAAAACAAGGGCTTTGTACTAGCTGTGGACTGTGCTTAAAATTGATGAAATAGAAAAACCAGTGTACAAAGCACTCAGCAGTCTCCCACCACACCTAGTCCTTAAAAGTCACTTTTGGCTGAACATTCCAGTTTTTCTTAGAAATGAGCATAGTTTCATCAGAATGTAGAGTATATAAGGAAGGAACTCTAAAGATGTTTAGTATCTTACCAGAAGCATATCATTTGCCTGAAGTGTATAAAATAATGAAAATACTAGGGATAGGGACTTAGTTGTTAAATATTTCTGAAAGTTTTTAGAAATTTGTCTTAAAGGAAATGTGGAAATCCATTACAGGACTAGGTCTCAAAGGAGAATAAAGGTGAACTTGCACCATACATTTTCAATTTGGAGCAAACTGAAGACGTTCATTGATGCTTATAAGATGAACATTAAGATGATCCATAGTTTGGGTTTATAGTTCCCATACTTAGAAGTTCTAGTAAAATAAGAGGGGAAGTTAGTGTCAGTTGGATCTTTCCTTACTTCTTAAAGCACATAATAGGTAGCCAGTTATACTAAGTGAAGTGTTCTAGACTTCTAAGTGAAGTGTTCTAGACTTAGTGTTCACTAAGTGAAGTCCACCAAACTGAAAGTGGCTTTGGGTCTAGTTTTCCTGGCATGTTTCATTATAGAAAAGTAGTACTATATCTCAGTTGAGAAGGTAATTTTATGACATGCTAGATCCTTACTTTTTATAGTTAAAGTACTTTTTAAGACTACTCTGCTACTTTTCCAAATAATACGTGAAATTCTTGACAATTGTAAATACTTTAATGAATATCAGCATTGCTGTTTGTTTGCCCCTTGCAGAAACAGGCAAATAAACTTTGAGTGTTTCTTTAATGAAAAATGATTGAGATCAAATAAGAATATCCAGTAAGGTGGTAGATTTTTCCAAAGTGTGTTTGAAAATCACTCAAGCTTTAAATGCTACTGTTAATGGTAGAAGTGATAATTGCTAGCATATTCCTTCACTGGAAACTTTCACATTAACTCATTTAATCTACACAACCGCCCAATGAGAGGTCATGATTATCTGCTAAATGTAAGAAAGTTGAATCATGCTGGTGTCATAAAACCACTTAAGTGGGAGAGTCAAGACTCAAACTCAAGTAGTTTGATTGCAGATTTCATGATACTGGGAGTTAAATTTACAGCTTCTGTTTTAAGACAATGGAAATAGCTATGAAAATATTCAGCTAAGTGCCAGGAGTGTTTGTGGATGCCTGTAAACACAGTGTTTTGGGAGCCTGAAGCAGGAGAATCATGAGTTCAAACCCAATGTGAGCAATTCATTGACTACAAAACTGTCTCAAATAATAAGCTAACGTGCTGAAGATAAGTGCTTCTGATTTCCAAAGTGCTTTTGAGTCTTAGGTCATCTTGTTTGATTCTCACAACCATAATAACCCAGGTCTTTGCACACTAATCTCTCCTCCCATTGCAGTAGAAGTCAAGAGGACCCTGGACTAGTTTTAAGCAAGGGGAAAAATATTAGAGAATAACAGACTGAAAATTTTATAGCCTATTGTTTTTGAATGTCTTAATTTGTTATATGTAGACATACTAAAATCATAAAGTTTTCAGTATTCTGTGATAGTACTAGAGTCCCACTGCCAAGGAAGCATGCACTTAGAAAAAAATTTTGATATGTTAAGAGGTAAAATATGTATGTAACCATGTTCTTTCTTATGTATTTGTTGTCCATGAATACATACAAGATACATGAATTCAGAACCATAGCAAACAAACCCCTAAGAAAACTATCTTTTTTCCACCTGCCCAGAGTGAGTGTATGTAATTTACAGATGATGGTTGGTTGTTTTATTTAAGATATTAAAGTACCATTTCTAGCTGGGGATATAGCTTAGCAGCATAAATGCCTGCCTGTAAGCACAAGGTCATGAGTTCAATTCCTGGTACCAAAAATAAAAATGCCAACTACCAATTTCATCTCACTGAATACACTCCCTGTTTAGAAGCTCACTGGAGTCTCTGAAGCTGGTATAGTACACCCCTGTTATCCCAGCTGCTTGTGAGGCTAAAGCAGGAGAATTGTAGATTTAAGGCCATGCTGAGCTACTTCACAAAACGGTTTCAAACAGGTCTTGTTATGCAATACGGAGTTCCCTAGGTCCAATCCCTAGTACTAGAAAAGGGAAGGAGGACCTTTACAGTAAAAAGACTGCAAATAACAATGATCTAAATGGTAAATTGATAAGAAACACACAGTACAATACTTGGTATTTTGTGTTACCTGGGCTTCTGGAATGAGTAATCATTAGTTTCATTTTGCCTTTAGAGTGATTCCAAGTTGTATAGCAAGTTCCTATTCAGTCTTTGGAATTTCCTTCACTATATTTACCTCAAAAAAATCAATCCTCCATACACAAACATAGAAAATAACTACTGTCACACTCAAAATGGTTTTACTGTTGTTTATATTACATCATATTGTGATTATGTGCTACATTATTTCTCTACTGGTATGTAAGCCTAATAGACTTGAGCCTAGACTATTTTAGCTTATTTGATGATGTAGTAAATAGAGTTAACATCATACACTATTCAGTAATGTAATGTTAGCTTCCTTTAATAGAACATATTAATGTAGTAGCTCAATTGAAAGCAACTTATTGGCAAGGTAGCCAGAAATTATATCTTTTTAGTGGAATTCTCCAGGGTGAATAGGCTAGATTTACAGATCACCACCATCACAATTTTATTGAAGGATCAGAGGAAAGTTGAACACAAAATGGTACTTACTAAGCAATGTTTTATATGCAAAATAGGTTTGTAGCAGGTCTTTACTTTTCATTAAGTGGCATGCTAGTTGAATAAATTTCACAAAGCTTATTAGCCCCCCACCACCAACAAATAACAAAAGCAAGAAACTAACCAACAGAGTGTGATGACACATGCCTGTAAGCCCAGCACTTCTGGGACAGGAGGATCACAAGTTTGAGAATACCGGGACAAGTTAGCAAAGCCCTGTTTCAGGAAAATAAGTCTAGGGATGTGGCTCAGTGAGCTCTGAATTCAGTCCTCAGTAGTGCAAAAACAAGTGGAAAATTTTTGTAAATTTTAAATTCTCTATCAAACAAATGAATTCCTAGATGATATCTCTGAGACACTATAAGCACTTGTGAAGTTAGGGATTCTAGTTAGCTTTTCTACCATCTTTAGATTCAGAGTTTAAAAAATACATATTTTAACAGGATGTAGCACAGTAGTAGAAAACTCAAACGTGCTGTGAAGTTACTATTTGATGAGTATTTTTTTCCTATTGCCTTATTCCTGATTAACTCTATGGTTTTGGGGTTTTTTGTTTTGTTTTGTTTTGTATTTTTGATGTTCAAGATAGTTCCAGAATCCAAGAGTCAAGCTTGTTTAGGCTGATGAATTCGTTAGCTTTTATTTAAGAATCTAAACAGCACAGTTTATAATTTCTCTTACATTTATGCCTCATCAAGTTCAAATCCAGCATGGTGGAGCATCTCTAACCCCAGAGATTTGAGAGGCTAAAGTAGGCATATCCCAAATTTAAGCCCAGCCTGGACAATTTAATGACTTAAACAGAACCTGTCTCAAAATTTTGAAATAAGGCTAGATTGCTGCAGATGCAGCTCAGTATGAATGCCCTAGGTTCTGTCCCTTGTCTAGCTAAATAAATAAAGAGCTGGGAATGTAGCCCAGGGATAGAATGCTTCTACATTTGACTCCTTTTGCCCACCACTGCGTTTGTGTCCAACTCAATTCTGCCTGCCTGCCATAGCAACATGTATCTGAATCCTGGCTGCCTAAATTCACAACAGTTCAGCTGCTTTGCCCTGCACTGGGAAAGCATCTGGTTTCTGGACTCTTGTTTATTTGAGAATCCAAGTGTATTTCCAAATTAACTTTATCTGTAACCTGCATATTGTAACTCCATGAACTGATTTTACATTATGCACTCTAGATGATTTTTTTTTTTGTTTTTTAAGACAGGGTCTTGCTGTGTAGTTTTAGGCAGTTAGCCTTAAACTCACTATGTAGCGCAGGCTGGCCTCAAACTCACTGCAATCTTCCA